AGTTTTGTTAAATGTTAGTTATTCTTTTGCTATTCAATAAATATAAGTCCATACTTTCAAGTAATTTTAATTTTTTTAGGTCTAAATTAGGTTGAAAAGCTTTCCGTCATTTTTTGCTACTGGTGGTCTTTTTTGACTGACTTATTTGTGTGTTTATATTTTGGATTGTGATCTGTTCAAATAGGTTTCCTTATACATTGTAAATATTAAGCTTTTTTTATAGCTTCCAACCTTTTCCTGATCAGCATTTTCCTTTGCTTTATAATCGACCATTTCAGGTAGTAACATTTTCTGCATTCATGACCAAGGCTGTCCGCTGTCTCCTTTATAATTTCTCCTAATGACCAAATATCAAGCCCTTATCATTTCCTCCACTGACGAAACAAATATTTTCTGTTAGGTTTTGATGGTTTGGTCTTATTTTGGTCTCTGGACATAATATAGCTCCTTGTGTGTGAAACTAATGACTGCCTTGAAAGAGAACAGGTCATGGCCTGCAGAGCAGGTCTCATGGGCTGAAGGGTGGAAAACAGTGGCTGGAATTCAGAACTCGGAGACCTCCAGGCTGGACAAAAAGATGGTGAAACTTGTTCCCAAGTCACCAGCTTGTAAGGGATTTGTTTTTCTGTTTCATGATGTGATCATTTCCTGTTGTCTTGGGAAGCACCCATATTGTCTCAATTGTGCGAAATATGCTAGTAGTGCAAGGGGAGGCACGGGGGTGAGTCTGAGTCCAGTGGTGACTAGTCACAAGCCTAGGCTCCAGCTGGGGGACGCGGAGGGCACTGTTCTCCACATCCAGTCACACAGATTCCTCGGCGAGCTTTTATAAACTCTCTGAGGCCTGGGTTCCAGCCTGTCCTGGTATTGAGAGTTTTTTTAAGCACTCCCCAGGTGAGTCTAAGGTGCAGCCATGGTTGAAAACCATTGTAATCATTTCATCAGGCAATGCCAAAGAAATCTAATCTGTAAGAGCAGAAGACCAATAGAAGGAACTAGAAACTCCCGGTTCTTTTTTTCACAAACACCTGCTTCTTGATGGCAACATTGATGGTGGGACCGGAAAAATGGTCTTTGGACGTAGCAGAAGTTTCCAGAATGCTCTCTTTACACCTCTCTCTCTTTAGTCTGTAAGGCCCAAGTGGTTCTGTCCAAAAGCTAATGAATACAGTTTCCAAAATATGGGGGAACAGAGTGTTTGAAAGTAGATCTTGAACCCGCTAATTAATAGAAGACGAGCAGGTGGGAGAGACAGAAGGTTGTGTTTCCAGCTTCTTCTCCTCCCAGCACAGACGGGACATGCAGGGGGCAGGCCTTCAAGACACGAGAGGCTCAGCCGCCGGCAGCGGGGCGTGGGGGGCACCTCACTCTGCTGGGGCGTGGCCTTAAGGACGGGGGTTTTCAGATCTGCTCATGTGAGCTCCTGTTCCCATGACCACATTCCCCAGAAATCAGGGCAGAGGACCAGCGGTGTTGTCGAATGGCTCCAAGCCAGCCGTGGATGGAATATCAGCCCCCCGCTGCCAATCTAGGGCATCAGAGGTCAGGCAGGGTTTTAATCCTCTGGGAATCATGACAAAGACATTTAATGTGCTCTAAACCTCACTCAAAAGAGTATGTATCTCAAGATACTTACGAATCAGAATGATAATATTCCCCCCCACTTCTGTGGCTTTGAAATAAGGGGGAAATTTTTTAACTCAGCCCTTGCTTCAACACATGCCAGTAAAGATTATTTCCTATTAGCTTGTTCTGACCAAACTTGCAAAAAGGAAAACTTTTTTTTTAAAAGACCAAGCGCTTAATTTATGCCTTGAATAATCAAGTTGTAAGTGGTGTGATGAAATTCCCTAATGAGATGCCTTGGATACAGTGACGCCCACCCTCTGCCCAGCCTGTCCCTAATCAAGACAGAGAGATGCAGGTCTCACCGGGTGCAGGACGGGGGTGGAGAAGGCTGTCAGAGATATTCCCAGTTCCGCTTGCATCCGTTGTGATCCTTATAGTCTCACTCTCTACTTCTGTGCTTATTGTGACAGCACTACCTGCTTTAAAAGTTTCCCATTATACATGTTTCAATGCTGTTCTCTTGAAACATCCCACCCTCGCCTTCTCCCAGAGTCCACAAGTCTGTTCTATACATCTGAGTCTCTTTTTCTGTTTTGCATATAGGGTTATCGTTACCATCTTTCTAAAGTCCATATACATGTGTTAGTATACTGTAATGGTCTTTATCTTTCTGGCTTACTTCGCTCTGTATAATGGGCTCCAGTTTCATGGCCTGGTGCACTGGGAAGACCCAGAGGGATCGGGTGGAGAGGGAGGTGGGAGGGGGGACTGGGATGGGGAATACATGTAAATCCATGGCTAATTCATTTCAATGTATGACAAAAACTACTGTAATGATGTAAAGTAATTAGCCTCCAACTAATAAAAATAAATGGAAAAAAAATAAATAAATAAAAATAAAAGTTTCCCATTAACCTCATAATAACGAAAGGACCCGGACTTTTATACCATTTGACTCTCTGGGGGCTTCCCTGGGGGCTCAGTTGGTAAAGAATCTGCCTGCAATGCCGAAGACTTGCAAAGATCTTTATTCCAAATGAGGTCACATGCTAATGTTCTGAGTGAACATGAATTTGGTAGCAAGACATTCCACCCACTACCCCCAATTAAGAGCAGGTTGGGATCAAACTGAAAGAAGAAATGTGGAAAGTTCCTGGAAGGATGTTGTTTAATTTCGGGCATGAAGTTTGTGTGCTAAGAGGGCTGTGCTTATGTGGGTTAATAGGTCAACCAAGCCAACTGGGCCGGCTGCCCTCGAGGTGTCAGAACCAGCCATCAACACAGAGTCAATGGGCGCCTTCTTGTTAAAAGGGTGGCCCTCTTCCACGGAGAGATGCTGAGGGTCCCCCAGCCAGTGGGACAGGCTGTGCCCCCGAGCTCTCCTGAATTTTTCCTGCCTCCACCGCCCCTCTGTGTGAGTCCTGACACTGCTGACGCAATGCAGAGGGCAAGAGTTGGACCATAAAGAAGGCTGTGCGCCAAAGAATTGATGCTTTCAAACTGTGGTGCTGGAGAAGACTCCTGAGAGTCCCTTACGCCGCAAGGAGGTCAAACCAGTCCATCCTAAAGGAAATCAACCCTGAATATTCATTGGAAGGACTGTTTCTGAAGCTGAAGCCCCAATACTTTGGCCACATGGTTGGAAGAACTGACTCATCAGAAAAGACCCTGATGCTGGGAAAAATTGAAGGCAGGAGGAGAAGGTGATGACAGAGGATGATATAGTTGGATGGACATGAGTTTGCTCTAACTTCGGGAGTTGGTGATGGACAGGGAGGCCTGGCATGCTGCAGCTCATGGGGTCACAAAGAGTCAGACACGACTTAAAGACTGAACAACAACAGCTCCACTGACCACTGCTGAGGCCTCTAATGAGGCACTTACCTTCTTGTAGCCTCAATTGCAGTATCTAAAAATCAGGTTTATCATCACCAACTTGTCCAGTTGCTGTAAATAAGAAAACTAACAGGTGCAGAAATTTTGTCTAAGTGTCTGGCATACGTTTCAGCAAGTGGTTGTTACTGTGATCATTATTGTGAGGTCACGGTTCTGGAGAACCCCCTTAGGAAGAAGCCTGGGGGCCAGAAGGCCAGAGGGACCATGAACAAGCTGTGAAGACTCATCTGCATCCTTCCCCCCCACTCCGCTCCTGGCACACAATAAACCAAGTAAACACACAGTGAATCACTGAATTGAATGATGCACCAGCTGAGTTCCAGATGTGAGCACTGCTCCAATAAACGGGCCTGATACAGCCATTCAGGACTTACAGCCTGACCTGGATGGCCCATGGCGAAGTCTCCTTCTTCTATGATGCAGCAGATGATCACTGAGCAGAGAAGGTGACAGAAAGCAGTTTTAGTCCCTTGGTGGTGGTGTTCGGTCACTCAGTCGTGTCTGACTCTTTGAGACCCCATGGACTGCAGCACACCAGGCTTCCTGTCTTTCACTACCTCCCAGAGTTTGCTCAAACTTATGCCCATTGAGTCGGTGATGCCATCCAACCATCTCATTCTCTGTCATCCCCTACTCCTCCCACCTTCAGTCTTTTCCAGCATCAGGGTCTTTTCCAACGAGTCAGCTCTTCGCATCAGGTGGCCAAAGTATTGGAGCTTCAACTTCAGCATCAGTTCTTCCAATGAATATCCAGGGTTGATTTCCCTTTGGATTGACTGGCTTGATCTTGATGTCCAAGGGACTATTCTTTATTAATTTCATAAGCCCTGACTGATTGGTGTTTATTGTAACCCTGCTTCCTTTTCCAAACTTTGCAATTAAGCCGAAAGTTGTTCTGCCCAGTTTCTGAGGCACGGACTTTCTTATCCTGTCTGAGATCCTGCTCTCAGCTTCAGTCATGCTGCTGTCAGCTAGCTCTGTCCTGAGCTGTCCATATCGAGTAACTGACAGGGAGACAGTGTTCTCGGAGCCAGACACTCAGCACCCTCGTTCAGGGTGCGGGGCTCCTGGGGTCACGGTGTGGGCGTCAGCCTCCGTCTAGTTGCCAGTTCATTAAATGTCCAAAACCTGCTTTCCTAACTCCAAACAGCTGCTTTTTGAACTCTGGCTATTAGTTTCGAAAGAACCGAGCAAAAGAGCAATATGGTTGAGCACAGATCCATCACCACCGCTGGGAAGGAAGTATGTCGACGGCGCCATGTCCCCTGGCACAGTTCAGAAGGGTAGTCATGTCAAGTTACGTGAATGGGTGGGCTTGCAGAAAAAGGAGAAAGGATAATATTGGGGAAAGCAATTGGCAGCCTCACACATATGGATTTACAAGCTGAGTCTGTGAGGCCCCCATCCCTATGGAAGCCCAATTGGGGAACGAGTTTTAAATCACCACTGTAATATTGTAAAGTAATTAGCCTCCAACTAATAAAAATAAAAAATCACCACTGTGCTGTCATCTGACTGGCCCTTTTCTCCTGCAGCTGACACAGCGCTTGGCACCGATGACGTGTATGATGACAAAGGATGCCAGTGTGACGTGTCCGTGGAGGACCTCACGCCACCACTGAAAACCGTCATTCGGGCAATCAGGTTGGTGACAACGTTTCACAAAATGATTCCAAGACCTCCCACTCATTGTTTCAATCACTGTGTTGCTAAGTTCTCTTTCTTGCCGGTGAAAGTGAAAGTCCCTCAGTCATGTCTGACTCTTTGAGACCCCATGGACTAAACAGTCCATGGAATTCTGCAGGCCAGAATACTGGAGTGGGTATCCTTTCCCTTCTCCAGGGGATCTCCCCAACCCAGGGATCGAACCCAGGTCTCCCACATTACAGACGGCTTCTTTACCAGCTGAGGCACCAGGGAATCTCCCAGAATAATTTCTTTCTTTCTTTCTTCCTATTCATCCACATGCCTATTAAATTGTGAGATATTTTTTCTTAATACAGAACTTGACTGTGTTCAGCATGAGATGTGTTATAAGTGGCGAGTGGAATTTGAAAAGCCAGGCTGGGTTCCAGACAGATCGCATGAGAACTGGCTGATCGTGTGAATCTGTTGCTTTGGTGTATAGATAGAGCTGAATGTTTTAACTTATTTTTATGATTGATGCTTCAATCCCTATTCTGCACTTTGTGTCAAAGAAGAGTCCCTCTTTGTCATTTCAAAGCAGGTTGAGTTCTGAACATGGGGAGCCTGAGTGCTTTCAGGGAGCTGCAACTGTCCTGCCGAAATTTATTTGTAAAATCTGACCATGATACACATTCTCTCCTGATGGTGGAAAACTGAGAGTGTGTCCAAAGCAACTTGTATCTCCAGAATTCCTTCCCACAAACAATCCAGGATCCATACTAAATGAGCTGCTGCTGTTCTGCCCACCCAGTTCAGTCCCTTTGGGAGAATGTTATCTGTCACGGATGCCGAGTGGCTGGCTGGCTGCAAAAAATGAACGCCTCTGCTCTCTTTGGCTTCTCCTGCCTCTTGCCAGGAAGCCTGGGGAGGGCTGAAACTATCCAGCCCAGTGTAGCCACCCAGGTACTTGGTCTGAGCTCAGATGTCAGCGCGATTGATTTTGCATTGCTGGTTTGAGCATCTTGTTAGTCTCTGTACTCTGTGGTCAAGTTTGTCTTGGAGACTAGAAGTGAGTTATAAAGATTTGGGTATTAGTAAATGTTTTCAGGGACAAAAAACTGTGATATGATGAAAATGTTTGTCCAGAAGGTGCTTAAATTTTACCTCTAGCAACAGCCCACACAGAAATGAAGCTAAGCCTAGCACTTCCCTCCAGAACCTGCAAGCAACTCCCCCGTGGTAGGGCACCTGTGTGTCCTGGGCCTCTTGTTTCTTCATGACCATTCCTGACTTTCCTTGTCTTTCTCAGAGGCCCCTAGTTTGGGCGGTTATGTGCTCACCCTGCCGCCTGGGATCCCAGAAACCTTGGGTAATATTTAACCCAGAAAACCCCAGGATATATAATAAATGCTATCTGCAGCCTCCATTAGATGGATGGAAAGGATCTTTCCTGCACTGCCCATCACTGTAGGCACCAGTCACACGAGGTAATTCACATTTGAATTAATTACAATGGAATAAGGAGCTTCCCAGGGGGCACCAGGGGAAAAGAAACTGTCTGCCAATGCAGGAGTCACAAAAGACACGAGTTCAAGCCCTGGGTTGGGAAGACCCCCGAAGTAGGAAATGGCAGCCCACTCCAGTAGTCTTGCCTGGAAAATTCCAAAGACAGGGGAGCCTGGTGGACTACAGTCCACAGGGCTGCAAAAGGAGCCGGAAGTGACTAAGCCCATGATATGACACAACAGCGGGATAAAATGCAAAACTGAGTTCATCAGTGGTGTGGTCAACACGTAAAGTGCTCAGGGTCCATGTACCGCCATGGCTCCCACGTTGGGCAGAGACACAGTGCATTTCCATCACTGCGGGACGTTCTCCAGGACTTGCTGGCCTACAAGTGACCTTGAAATTCTTTCCATCCATCATGACAGCCATCAGAGACCCTTGGTCTAATTTGCAACAAATACAGTAAAATCTTATCTCCAGGGAGCAGATTAAGTTTTCTAAAAGTCATGCTTAACCCAATTTGTGTCATTTCCCTAGACCTTCTGAAGCTTTTTGCTTTTGCCTTACAACCTGCACAAAGAATCTTGAGCTGTGAGGGAAAAAAAAAAAAGATGAAATGGGTTTATTCTGCCAACTCAGCACCTTAGCAGCAGCTTGCAATTTATTTTGTTCTACCTTGCTCTTACAACCTGACTGATTTTTGAAAAGTTATTTGCAGAATTCCCTTGCTTTTCAGAATTCATTCTTGGTTCTTATTTTTAACAGGACTTTATTATTTACACATCTTTCCTTTTTGTGGATTTCAAAGCTCTCTGCTTGCTACTTCATAACTCTTCATGTGGTGTTTTTCTTCCCTGTTTCCCAATTCTGCTTAGTGGGTTTTTTTCTTTAATCACTTCTGAGTTCCATTTAAAATTGTTTGCTTCTATAGAAACATAATAGCTACACTCAATAACTTAATTGGAAATCTTTGACTTATGATAGAACTTTTAATATCAAAGAATTAAAGAACTAACCAATGCAGTCAGCAGTTCTGAAAAGGAGTCTGCAAGTAAAAGTTCCTAAATCATATGCAAAAGTGTCCTTTTCCTGAGCTTAATTATATAACAAACTGAACATCAATTGACTGGAATGTTTTTGCTAGAACACGCCTACCACCCACAGCTCACCTGAAATAGGATTTTATATGTATGTTACTGACTGCGAGTGCGAACCATCTATTATTCATCTCAGAAATGGCGACTCTGTTTTTGGCATTTTCCTTGTTTTCTTTTGGTTGTTTGATTATTTAACATAACAACTTGAACATGCCCTTTGTTTTCCAGTAGCTCTAATAATAATAGTTTTCCTAAGAGACAAATTAAAATTAAAATGTGTAACAAAAAATATGTATTCCACTGCAAGGATGACAGCATGTAAAATAGTATGATTACATTCACAAAGAGTTAAGTAGGCATTCTTATTTTCAGTTATTAGTATTTATTAAGTCTTTGACATTTTCTAGTTATTTTTTAAAATAAACATTCTCAGGCAATAAAATGATTAAGGTCACTCTCCAAATTCATCTGGATTCCATTCCTGATGAATCTGAGATTCTTCATGTCTCATCACAGCAAGAATTCAGTGAGAAACAAAGTGATAGGTAAGAAAGTGAAGTTGTTCAGTCGTGTCTGACTCTTTGGGACCCCATGGACTGTAGCCTACCAGACTCCTCTGTCCATGGGATTTTCCAGGCAAGAGTACTGGAGTGGGTTGACATTCCCTTCTCCAGGGGATCTTCCCAACCCAGGGGTCGAACCCAGGTCTCCTGCATTGCAAGCAGACGCTTACCATCTGAGCCACCAGGGAAGTCTAGGTAAGAAAGGTAAGAAACTGATTTATTTAGCGAGAACCACAGTGCACAAATAGAGGGTCGGCCATCTCAAAAGGGGAGAGGCCCTGAAACATGGGGTGGTTAGCTTTAATGAGCTGAGTAATTTCATAGGCTCATGAGCAGGAGCCTATGGGCTATTTATTCCAACTGTTTTGGGGAAGGGGCAGAGATTTCCAGGAATTGGGCCACCATGCACATTTTGCTCTTTGATGGTCGACCTCAGAACTCTTGTGGTGCCTGGGGGTGTGTCACTTAGCTAATATATTACAGTAAGCGTATAGTGAGGCTTTAAGTCCTCTGGAAGTCGAATCTTCCACCATCTTGGACCCAGTTGGTTCTAACCAGGTTTAGTCAAGCCCTATGGCCATAGCTTCCCTGGTGACTCAGATGGTAAAGAATCTGCCTGCGATGCAGGAGGCCCAGGTTCTATCCCTGGGTTGGGAAGATCCCCTGGAGAAGGAAATGACCACCCACTTCAGTATTCTTGCCTGGAGAATCCCATGGACAGAGGAGATTGATGGGCTACAGTCCGTGGGATTGCAAAGAGTTGGACACGACTCAGTGACTAACACTTTAGAAAAAATGGTCATGTCATTCTTTTAAAGGTCATGCCCTGCCTCTTTTCTCCTGTTTCAATTCCATTACCTAAATGCACTTGGAGACTTTTTTTTTAATGAATGACATCATTTTTTATAGTAGTGAACAGCAGCTATTCTTAGACATTTCCAAGCTATGCCTTAAAAGACAGAAAAATACTTTGTTTAGTTCCTCCAGGCTTGCCACAGAGTTTTTTCAAAATATTTTTAGTTGGAGTGCATGAGGTTGTTGGAAATGTGTTTTCAAACTCATCTCTGGGAGGGAAGACTGAACTTATTTTTAACAAAAGTTCTGTATCTTGTTAATGATTTTAATTCAAACACTGTTAAGTTTCTTTGCATCCACTCATATAAATTAATTTCCAAATAGAAAAATGAAATTAGCAGGGAAGTAAACAGATGACAAGAAAATTGATAAACTCTTGAAAATACTACACACTCCCTTCTCATTGTACAGTTGACCCTTGATCACTGCAGAGTCAGGGGTGCCAACTCCCTATGTAGTTGAAAATCTGCATGTAACTTACATGACGTCCCACAAACTTAACTACCAATAGCCTGCTCTTCACCAGAAGGCTTCCCTATCTATAACATAAACAGTCAATTAACACATATTTTGTACATGTAACATATACAGTATTTTTACCAAAAATCCAGCTAGAGAAAAGAAAATGTTATTAAGAAAATCACAAAGAAGAGGGAATACATTTACAGTATTGAGCTGTATTATAAGTATGTTTGCAGATGAATCATCTCCCTGTACCTACAATATTGTCTCACTCAAAACACTGGAGATGTTATATGTATTACTAACACTGGACATCCAAAATGAAAAGATAATGTGAGAAAACAATTCATATTTATTTATATTTATTTACAGATAAAATAATTCATGCATTGATAATGAAGCAGCAATATGATTGCTTCATGGTAGCTTACCTTATACACTAATGAATGACTCACTAAAATTTTTAGGGCACATAGCACAGTCAGGTTCATAACACAGTATTGAAACACTATGAGATTAAAAAAAAAAAAACTTC